GTCTTAATGGACATCTATGTCACTCTTGACTGATTTCCTCCCTGACCTGGCTTGGAGTTCTGGCTGGGGAGAGTCCTCTCAGCCTGTGTTTGCCTGGCCTAGATCAATTGCTTAGGTTTATTGTGTTCCTGGGTTTATTGCCATGGCATTTGTAGACCTCTGTCTAATTAACCTCAGTGGAACAGAATTGAGGATCTCCAAAACTTGCATCCAGAAAGTGGCAAAGAGGAAAAGATTACAAACAAAGGTGGTTTCTGTTGTGTTTGAACAATGTGGGGCACAAAAGGCAGCAGACTGGTTGGCTGAGCCCACTGTCATTTGCCAGCCAGCACAGCCAGCCTGTCCTTGGGATAAAAAATGCTTCACTAAGTATATTCAAAGCAACTGCTTTCTACAAGAATGTCAGAGTATATCAGATGACTTGGAACAGGCATAGCACCAGCTCCCTGAGATATAGGTTTTGACTTACCATTGTTCATTGTCTTACCCTAAAGATGCATGTCTGGAGCTATTCTAATGGGCTAGGAAAAAGTGCAGTAATGTGGAGACAATATTCTCTTTTTTGTGCTTAAGCATGGATCTAATCTGTTGTGCATTATTGAGAAAAGCAACAGTTTATCCACTAGGTAGTATTCTTTGAAAAACTCTTCTCTGCAAGAAGATCACCTCCCATATATCCACAATCCTTCACAGCCTCTGTTTTTTTCTGCAGACTGGGGTTACAAGGTACTGGTTTAAATGGTCAGAGCGACTTGAAGTCATGTAGAGAATTCTTGGTTTTATTTCCTCTTGGTAAGTTAGATTGTTACATCTTGCCACTCAATTACTTTTACTATTAAAACTTATTTAAGTTCTGCTGAGGAAGCTAAGCATAAGCAAAATAAAACAGGATCATCAAGTTCTTCTTTGCATAGGGGTAACTTGTCAAAGTCTTGGCAGAAACTTTGTAAAACCACATCACACACAAAATTAGGTTCAATAAATAGTAGCTAAAACCAGATTTTTTTTCTCGCCTTGATAAAAGTTTACAGATCTTTCAGTTTCTAATTTTAGTCTATGGTTTACAATAAATACTGTGAAAGCTTTATTTTAAATTTTTCTTGGGTGGAGGAGGTATAGTTAATGTCATATGTTCTTATTAAAAATCAGCAAGTGAGAGATGCTTATTATTTCCTTGATTGTTAAGTGTGTGTTTGCAGTGTTACAATCTTCTGGGGTCTTCTGGTTAAATGTGTGAAGAAAATCCAGAATTGATTGTCACTCAGTCCCATGTCAGTTCAGAGGATCTCAAGGCATTTATTGCTATAGAATGACTAAAAAATGTAACCAGCTGTTCAAGTTTACTTTGTTTGCCTGTGTTTGGTTTTTTTGGTGTTTTTTTTTTTTTTTTTTTTTTTTTTTTTTTTTTTTTTTTTTTTTTTTTTTTTTTTTTTTTTTTTATGGTATCCTTGCACTGTATATCTGAACTTTGGCCTTTCTGTGACATGTTTTGTAATTAAGTGTTCTTAACTTTAACAAGTCTTGCTTTAAGGACTCTAAATGTATTGTGTAGAGCATAATGTCAACATTTTTGCAGGAAATATAAAATTGATGAATATTTGAATAAATTTATTTTCACAGTGTTTTTGATCATAGATTCTAATGGTGCAGTAGGTGCATACATGTCTAATGTGTAGCAGTAACACAGAATCAAGGTAAATCTGTAGTTGACAGCATCCTTGAATGTGTTTTAGGTAAAGCCTTTCATTAGTGAAATGAGAAATGTCAATTCATGCACCATTGCAACAAACTTTTGCCTCTGAATACTATAAAATGCTATGTGGAAAGTATTCTTTTTCCACTGCCTGCTTTGCTTTTCTTTTTGGATCCAAGAACCACAAATAAGTAGAGTTCTTAACAGCATGTTGAAGCTCTGGAGAACCCCTGTGGCAGGGCTGAGGACAGGTGTGTCTGGGCAGGTGGGCAGTGCCAAACCACAGCAGTGCAGTGCTGCTGGGGGAGTTGAACCTTATTTTCCCTGTAAAGATCACAGACCTTACTGGACAATAACTGTTGAACAGTTGTCTCAGTAAGATTTTTTCTTTAATGGAAGATACATTCAGGATTGTACATGTTGCCCAGAGAGTGTGTGCTGTTTCTCTGTTTTCATTTTAATCTTCTTGCATTAGACCTCAGTGCTTTGCCTCTGCTCATTGTTTGAGCAGGGAGCTGAGTCCAGGAGACTTGTTTTTACATGTAAAGAAGAATTAAGAGCTTGCTTTGTGCCTCTCTTAAACTTTTCACTCAGTCACTGGAAGCCCACATGGATAAGATGCAGGAGTTGCATCCCTACATATCAATGGGCAATAGTGATAGGTAAATGATACTAATACCAGCTAAAACAAGTCATCATAACTCCTACTACGTTATCAACTTCCTGACAGCAAATGTTTGTGAGCACAACTGTGTAAAAATGAGGGAGAAAGCAGATATGCCACCCTGTGTCCTTTGGGCAGTCAAATTGCTGGTATGTTAGAATATGGATATAGGTCACTTCATGTATAGGAGTCCTTGTGGTGCCATTGTGGTGCCTTTATATGACCTCATTGATAATACCACATTACAACTAAAACAGAACATTTGAATGAGGGTGTACTGGATCACAGAGGCTGCAGTAAGTTCTGCTGGCTACTTCATCAAACACGCAATAGACAAAAATGCCTTTATGCTCTGGTCCTGTACTTACATGCCTGAGTTAAACATGTCCACAAGTGTTTGTGTGATGAGAGCTTACATCAAGAAGTTTCCCTCTGCAGTGCCTGACCTGTGTTTTTTATTGTAGAGAGAAGTAAAAAGGAGCTCAGTTTCCTAATGGATTTGGAAAACAGATTACTATCTCAGGATCTTCACAAGTTTTGTTCTGATACTTGAAATACTTAGGCAGGGCTGGTCTTCTGTAACATGGTGCTCCAAGGAAAAACTGGGCTCTACATTTTTGCCCCCTGGTTGTTTTGATTTCCTGGGCTTCTGAGGGCTCATACTAGTTCATAGTCTAGATCCCATCTATTCCATTTCCTCTTCCTCTGCCCCCCTGGCTGATTTTCTCACTTCTGAATTTCAGAATCTCCTCCCAGGTTTTCACCTCAAGTAGCAGGTTCTGGTACTGCTTCTTTATCAAGTGCTTCACTGTTGTCAATACCTGGCTAGGAGACAAATTCATGAATTAACTTCTCTAAACACTGGCATCAGCTCAACATGACTGTGTATTTTGTGTTTTTCCCATGGACCAATCAGCTAATGTGCAGCAGCGCAAAATGGATCTTCAAAAAGAGAAGACATAAAATAATTCACTTGGACAGCTTATAAGGAGCATATAACCTAGAGTAGTATTGATAAAACTGCTCAGATTTGGGATTGCCCTCTGTCTCACTTGATTAACCAGTGATTTACACATATAAAATGACTTTAACTGATTTAGAGGGTAATTTATGTCATAATGTGCATGATACATGGATCTAAGGAGACTAAAGAGAGGGGAAAAGGAACCATCTGTTCTCTAGAAAACTGTCTGCTGTCAGAGGGGCTCAAGAACTGTTTGAAAAATGTGTTTAGAAAGCCATGAGTAAATTTCCTAAATTTTCTGTGCTTTCTGGATGGCATTCTCACTGGGTACATATTGACCAGGAAAAAAGGTTAGGAAGTTGAATTTTTAAACTTTGGCTAGTCTTCATAAGTCTTTCTAGGTTTTCAAAAGGCTTTATTTTTATGAACCTATATAGTGGGTTTTGTCCTGATCTTCCCAGTGCTCATGGAATTTTTTTTTTTTTTTTTTTTTTTCAGTTACAGGATGGATATGGAAATCACCCAACACCCCAAGGTCCAAATTCAAACATGAAAACAAGAGTGATATTTCTTGGGAGCAGCAGGGTTGTATTTAGGACAGGTGTTTAAAAGCAGACTTACCTACTGCACACACATTAGGTTTTGTAAACATAATTTCCTTGTGCCCATCTCTTATGTTACATGAACAAGTTAAAGACCATAAGAGAATCATTTCTGCATATTCTTAAGTTTATACATGTGAACTTCTTCAATAGGATGACTCATGCATACAGATTTATGTAAAAGCACAGGCACTTGTGGGATCAGGGCTTAACTTATAGCATCCCTCTTCTACCTGAAAGGGAAAAATCCTGGAGTTTAGTTATGTGCAGCAAAGAAAGTGGATTGTTGTATGCTCCAGAAACTATAGACAGCAACTCCAAAGGCAGTTGGAGGATCTCTTTTGTTGCTCCTTTTTTTTGTTGGTTGGGTTTTGGTTTCAAGTTTTTTGAATTGATTTTTTAAAATGTATCTATTTATTTGGCTTTAATACCGTTGTTTTGTAAATTAAATATACCTGCAGCAAGCTCAGTATTTAACAGCACGATGGAGAACAGACTTCCGACCTAGGGCACTTTCAAAAATTCAACCTCTGCTGGACTCCTTCACTAGGGGTGTCTCCTGAAGCGCTTCTTTTTCAAGTGCGGAGACAAAACCCGTTCCCCGATCTGACGCTCGCCGGAGCGGAGCCGGCGCAGCCCGCAGGGGTCAGTGCTGCCACGGAGGCCGGGGCCGCGGCCGCCGGGACGGGCAGCGGTGCCCAGCGGCGACGGGGACAACCGAGGGGGGCGGGCCGGGGCAGGGATCATCGCCCCCGCCCCACGGCAGAGGACAGCGAGGGCCCGACCCCAGACCTGGAACGCCGGTGGGGTCCCGTGCCATGGAGCGGCGCGGTGCCGGTGCCGGGCAGGTGCCGTCCGCCGCTCTCCGCCCCAAAGGAGCCCCGGGGGAGTCGTGCCCGGCGGCCGGCAGGAGGCAGCCGGCGCTACCCGGCCCCTGGGTCTCTCTTCTCTGCATCCCTCCGCCCCCGACGGGGAGAAGGAGAGAGCTGCCGGCGGCCGCCCCCCCC